ACTAGCCTGTTCTGTCCAGTTAACATGATGCACTGGTACCTCTCCTGTCAGATGACAGTGCAGCCCAGATTTCATATTATAGTGCCATGAAAGGGCAGCGGGGCGGGGGGGCCTTCAGCATTAGGAAAAGCAAATGTCAAGTGAAAGATGGTGAGTCAGTTGCTGGGGTCTGATCTGCTGAAGTGTCAAGGGATAGCATCAGTGAGCCAGGGACTTTGTGAACATAATGACGGACTTTGAATTTTTCTGCCTTTTTATGTAATCTTTGTGGAAAACTAGATGTAAATACTGAAGATGTCATTCTTAGCTCCTTCGTAGATTTTGCCCCACTATTGTATGATAAAGGCCTTTTTGGTAGTCCTTCACTGAAGAGAGTAAAGTACCTGCAGTTTGATAAGGATCCTGAGCCACCAAACATTTGCACATCCAACATGCTTGCTCTCTATTTCTACATGACTCTCCCAGACAGGTATCTGATTCCTTTGTGGCAGTGGCATAGTGACAACTACTAGTCCTGCAGAATGATGCTGGACATTGACTTTAGTACAGAAGCTTACCCTGCCTTGAGATGCTCATGTTCCCTTCCGTTTCAGAATCTGACTTTAATTATAGCCAAGGCAAATGAACGATGTTTTGTTTTCTTGATCATATGATAATCCCAGGCTTGAACATACGTACTTCTTTTGAATCTTTCATTGGGATAACTGTCTTGAATTTTATTTTTCACTTTTTACAGCACTCTTACAATTTCTCGTATCAGAATTAGGTAAATCCAGCAGAGTGTATTCCAGAAAGGCCTCCAGAAGCTTAGGAGGACTTTTTCATTCCATTTCTCTGCCTCTGTGTTGCAATGTCGATAAATACTTAGCTAAGGGCTCCATCTCTGTATAAGCCATGAAATAAATTCTCATACCTAGCAACACCTCAGTTCAATCAGAGGGAGCATGTTATAGCATTAGTCCAGATGGGGATAGGTTTATTTTGTATATGAATGATTTTTAATGAATGCAATATTAATAATCTTGCAAATGAGCAATAATCATTACGCAAAGTCTGAATAAAATGATTAGAAAGCTATCTCTGACTTCAGTACTCTCTTCTTCTGCTTACGTAATGCCACATTACTTTTTTACCCCTTTTTTACTGGCAACCTATTCATCCTCTTTTGAACAGAATAAGAGAGGTATGGATTGAGGAAGATAGGTATTTTCCTGCCTTGAGGCACACCTATCCTTTCCTCCACTAGCATGTTTTGTGGGGAAGAAATAACCTATGTTGTGCTAACATTGGAAACCACTTACAAAACATCAAGGGAAAATATCTGTGCTTAAATTTGCCTAGAAAAGATCCACATTAGATCTAAGCTAATTCGCATTGATCAGCAGGGTTCTTTTTTGTTATTGCCTGTAGTCTTATTACACTATATATCACTTTAAATTGAATTAACTTTAAATTAAACTAATGAAAATAATTAAAGCTGGCCTAAGATAGATTCATAGATTGGATACTGCTTGAATATTCATTTCTATAAAAGTATGTTTAAAACAAAGGATATAAATTCATGCTTAGCTTAAAACTGCCTTGAATCAGCCTCAAGTCATAGTTTTTCAGTTAAAAGGGTAGGTTTTACATACCATCTATCTGCAGATTTAGATACTGTTGAGAACTCCAGGTTTGTTAGTTAGGATTTTTTTAAAGTTGCCTTTCAGTTGAGCTGGTGACTTCACAGCCACATCAGTGAAGTGGCTTGCCATGGCCTAAGATTCTTTTAATTTTTCAGTTTAGCCTACCAGCCCTAGGATTTCCTGCTGGCCTCCCATCCAAATACTAACCAAGTATTAACCTGCTTAGATGTAGATTAGTTAGATCAAATGCTGCCACCTGGCTGAGCAGAAATAAAAATGAAATGTCCTTAAATTGAACTTGGCTCTTGATGATGTCATGGAAAAAGTCATGCTGTTTTCTTGGCATAAGTATAGAGGTTCCCACTGTTACCTTCTGGAGTTCGGTTTTGGTTTTGGGTTCTCCACCCCCAACTTCCCACTCTAGATTTCAGCCCTGGAATAAGAAGCTATTCTAAAAAATTTTAACATAGTTTACCTGATAAAAATTATAGAAATAAATGATACAGAAAATGTGATGCAGCATAAAAATCAGCTTCATCTTAATCAAGGAACAGAGGATAAAAATAGGGGCTAACAGATTTTAAAGGATACAGCAAGATTTGAAAGGTCCGGGAAAATTAAAGCATCTTGGGCAAATTTGTCAGCAGTAAGCATTCCATTACTAGGGGTCTATTCTTAAAATGGTTCTTTTACTAGTAGCCACTTACTGCACCTCATCTCATTGTTCAGAAGCATTCATAGAAGGGCCTCTGATGATTTTACAGCCCAGAAAGGTTGATAATTGATAGAGGCAATCCTTTGGGTCCCAAATTGTAAAGGCCTTCAAAGTCAAATCTGCATTTGAGGGTGAAGTGTTAGATTTGTTTTTTTAGTGTGAAGCGAAAAAAGTACATGAGATCCCAATAGAATATGGAGGTCAAAAATTTTAAATGAATATTTTTGGGATCCTTTGATAGGAAAAAAAGCAAGAAAAGGGGTACAGAGCAATTAAAAATAGAAAAGACTTGTTAGAAATCTGAAGAGACTCATGGACTACATCCAGAAGAAGTCAGAATTTAGGACTTAATACTGGGAACTTTAAAAACTGCAGCCATAAAATCAAGGATGGATCTGGCCAGTGCAGTAATAGCTTGTCTATGAGAGGATGTGGACTTGGCTTTCATTAGCATTCTAGCAGTATCAGCTCAAATTGGGGATTTTGCTATTTTTTTATTATACAGGTAGTCCTCAAGTTACAACCATTCGTTCAGCGACCATTCAAAGTTACGACAGTGCTGAAAAAGGAGACTTGTGATCAGGTCCTTGAAGTTGTGGCTGTCTCAGCACCCCCACGGTTATGTTATTGTGATCTGGGTGCTCAGCATCCCATTTGCGCTTACGGCCAGTTGCCAAGTGCCTCATGATCACATGATTGCCATTAGCAACCTTCCTTGATGGCTTCCCCCAAGCAAAGTAAATGGGAAGCTGGCAAGGAAGGTTGCAAGTCTCCGGGATAGGTCTCCCCCCACCCTGGTCTTCCTCACTCGCATGCACTACACCCTCCTTCACTCGCACACACCCCGTGCCCTCTTTCCACGGCCTCCCTGCGATTGCATATACCCTGCACCCTCTTTTGACGGCTTCCCTGTGACCGCATGCACCCCACGCCATCTTTTCTTGGCTTCCCTACGCTTGCACACAGGCACCCTGCGCCCTCTTTCCACAGCCTCCCTGCAATCACATGCACCCTGTGCCCTCTTTCCTTAGCCTCCCTGCAATTGCATGCACCCCATGCCTTCATTCCCCAGCCTTTCTGAGCTTGCACCACGGCATCAAGCACCCCCTCCTCCAACTCATGCATGGCCTGTGCCAGGTGTCCCAGGGCCTCCCCCATCCTCCTGTGGCACTCCCACATTCCTTACCTGGGACTCCCTCTGCTTCCCACTTAACAACCTGTGTGTTTTGGGTTACGACAACAACCAGGAGTGCCTGGATTGCTGTCACTAAGCGATGCGGTCACGTGACATCGCACTTTACAACTGCATCACTTAGCAATGGCAATCCCAGTCCCAACTGCAGTCATAACTCAAGGACTACCTGTAATGCAAAATTCTTATGTCTTCACTATGTTTGGCTGAATTCACATGAGAAATACTAGTAAGCGTACTCTCTGTATTGCTTCTAAATTCAGTATAATATTCAAAATGCTGTTCTAACTCCACAAGTCAATATAATATATTGTAATATGTGGATGTTTTGAGATGTTGGTTTCTCCTGTACAAGAAAGTATGACCTGGAGGTGAGCAGAAGTAACTTGTATTCAGGTGCATTCTTTTATTCCACCGTGTGTGAATAGCATAAGTATTAAGAAGCACAAAGGTTGCAAAAATATTTTCCTTAAATTGCAGTAATTGGGTGAACATAGTGTAAAGAAATCTCAGTTGACTACAATCCTATTTCTCAAAACACTCCTTTACACGCTGACTATTCACATAGTCTTCAGGAAGCACACATGAATAAATTAAACTTTCATCACCTGGAATACTGTACCTAAAGCTTGGCTTCCAGTAGGTTAATGAGCATCAGTAAGTTTCCCTCTGTCTAGAAATATTACAAATACTTAGTGTTAATAACATGTTTTATCATTTAATACTGAATTGGTTGTTGATAGATGAAGTAACTCTTCATAACCGTATAATAAAAGGCACAAAATTTTGAGCTCCATTTTTATATGTAATTAGAAAGTACTTTTTCTACTAATATGTGTACAATATTTCTCTTGGTGTGTGTCAGCCCAGTTTAAAATACCGTGTTCACACTGAATAAATGCTCACCTACTTAGAAAAGCAATTGTGTTTGATTTGTTATGCTTTAATAAGGCTAGTGTATCCAATCCCCGCTAAAAATCCGAGCAAGCGTTAGGGCAGTAGAAAGGGCCCTGGAACTCTTTGCTCCATGTAATGGGCGTCCGAATTTTTGCGGGTGAGGCCTCGTTCCCCTGGCAAATTTCATTGTAACAAGGTCTTTCTTCAGCAATACAGTAAACGGTAAAATAAAAAAGGCTACATGGATCAACGTTACATCATTTCTGCTGCACACTAATACCTTAAAGTAAGCCTGCGAATCTGCCTGGACTGCAAAAATCCACATGACCACTGCATTGCAAGGGTTAGCATCCAACGGTCATTTGGATTTTTGCAACCCAGATCTCCTAGTTCTCCATTTCAACAGAATACACAGGCATGAGGATTTAGTTAACTAAACGCATAAGATAATGCACGCAACCACCACCAACTTCCCTCCAGACCCTCTTAACAGCCTCTTCGAACCACAGAACGGTAGGTCTAAGGTTGGTGTGACGCAACCAAGAGGGCTTCCGCATTCATTCCGCGTTTTGTGATTGAATGCAGCAACGCTCAAGATGGCGCCTTGACAAAGCCGCCCCCCAACCGCCACGCTCAAGATGGTGACGCTTCCTCCGAGATTCCCGCGCTGCGTGTCTCAATTTATGCGAGAGCTCCCGGCGCGTCGCGATGGAGCCGGGTTGCGGTGGCGGTCCGGGCTTGCTCATCGTCAATAACAAACAACGGAGCGGAGGGCTTGGGCTCACGACGACGACGCCCCCGCCGCCGCCGGGAGGAAAGGGCCGGGAGCCTAATCGTAACCAGCGCAAAGACTCGGAGGTGAGGCGGAGCTGTGAAGGACGGGGGCGGGCGGGGACTCGCCCACTCGCCCCTTGGGGATGACGCTCCTGGGCGCCGGGAGGGAGGCGGGGGGCGCCCCCCCGGGCGGGTTGTGGTCGCGGTCGGGGTG